AGAAAGTAGAGTTCAGGAGATTGGCTTTTTGTGTATTAGTAGTAGCAGTTTGAGAGTCTGAGGTTAGGGGGGGGATGGTGACTTTGTTTTTACGTAGAGAGCGTACATAGGACCAAAAACGATGAGGAGATGATGAGATTGAGTTGAAGAAATGACTTTTACATTCTTTTATTTCAGAGGAGATTGTGTTACGGAGACGGCGGTATTGAGACATAAGTTGTGGTGATTTGGACGAAATAGCCCCAGAGTAAAGGCGTCTCCTCCTGACTATTTTACTTAGAAGAGAACGCGGTAGCCAAGGGGGTAGTGGAGTGATAGAGCGAAAAGAGTGAGGGGTAAACTGGTGAACTATATTCAGAAATTTATTATAGAAGTTGGACCAGGAGGAATCGATGTTTGGAGAGAGTAAAGTTTCCCAGTCTGTAGAGAGAAGTTTCTCATTAATGGAGTCGAAGTCTGCTTTGTGGTAGAGCCAAACTTTCTTTTTTCTTAGAGTGCGGGGGGAGGTGGAGAACGGTTTAACTAGTGGGGTGAAACAGAACAGAATTGACTGATGATCAGAAGATCCTATTGGGGGAAAGATAGAAAAGTCATATTGAGAATTTGGAGGAATAAACACTAGATCTATTGCTGAATGATTGCCAGAAGGAGAAAAATGAGTAGGTGAGTTGATGATTTGGTGGAGGCCTAGGATGTTAGAGATGGATTGCAAATGAGATGAAAGAGGAGGTGGGTGAGGTGCTAATACTTTAATATTGAAGTCACCTACTAGTACTAATTTGGACATGAAAGCTGGGCCTAGGGGCAATAATGTGTTGACTAGAGAAGGGATAGCATTCCGATGTGTTGGTGGACGGTAGAAAACAGCAACATTGAGGTTCTGTGAATTGATGATGATAGATACTACAAGTAATTCTAGTAATAACGGAGATTTGATGCAGACTAAGGAAGGGGAAAGGGAAGATTTGACATAAATACTTAAGCTAGTTTTTTTTTATTTTACATTACTATCTTTATTGCTTGCTTTTTTAAAATATCTACAGGATTAGAGGGAAGTTATAATAATTTTAAGCTTGATATATGTAGGAAACATGACTCTGAAAGTAAGTCAAATAAAAATATCTTATGCTCTGCATTAATTAGCAACTAGAGTTGGGTCAACTTGAATTTTGTTAGCTACTTTTCATACTGTTCATTGATAATTGCCGCAAAAACTGAATTATCTTAGTTCCTTGAGCAATTTTTAAGAGATAATGATATCAGCCACTGATGTAAAGATTTGCTATCAGTCTAAGTTGCTTATAAAAGCATTATAAATACTTATCTACATTAAATATCTTAGTGCAATCAGAACAGTATGTGTAATTATGTAAAAGGAATACTTTCAAATAAAATTGATAGGTGGTAGCAATTTTTGGCCAATAGAATATTTTTGGTAATATCATAATAATCATTTTTACACAATGAAAATAATTGTTACTTATGAGGCGACTTTTATTATTTAAATTTTACAACTATATGTTTGTTTTTAATGCAGATTGTAACTCATTTCATTGCAACTAGATCTAGATGCAGTATATTCTATTCTATGACCAATGACTGAAGGCTTTTTATTTTGATATCATCACTGAAATCTCTTACATTCAAAGTTTAAAATTATTACAGTTAAAAATAGTTTATTTTTACTTTATAAAGAGTTAA